TTTTGTCACTTGATATGGATATAAGCAAGTATCAATTCATAGAGGTTGAAATCAATTGTATTATTTGAAATAAAATGTAATTTAAGATACATTAAAAAGCAGAAACCATTACAACATACATACATTTTCAAAATGGTATTCAGATTATGATAACTACAAATTCAAGCCACAATGACCATAAATCCAAATCATAAAGGTAACTTTTTTTAAATCTTAAAAACAAATAAAAAATATATATCCTTGAAAAGCAAATATCTATCACAAACTGGTTTAAAACAAATATGTTACAATGGAAAGTGTGTGAGGTTCTGACTGTATCCAAGTATAAGAAAAAAATATAAAAACAAATTTATGATAGTTTTTTCATATATTTTCACAAAATATTAAAAAAAAAAACACTTTTCTTAGTAGATGTTATTTGGATGAATTTTGTACCTGACAACCACATTTTGCAGAATAGCATTGGCAGAAGAAACATTAGATTTCCTCTAATGGGAATCACAAGGTTCCTATGAAACCTTTATTTAAGAGATTCATGATTTCAATTCATCACATAAATCCCATTCAACAGCTATATATCTTAGATATATCTTAGTTTTTCAAACAAAGTTTGCCTTTGACAAGTGCATTGACAAAAACTCTAGTTTTATATGCATCTCTTTATGTACCATGTTCCTACGGGACATGAGTGATCATGCCTCTCCACAGCGTCCTGCCTTTTGGGTGCTTCAACAATACTTGACCTCTTTGTGGCATTTATTTCTTCATCCATTTACTCAAATTTGTCAAGTAAATTTCTTGCTGCTTTTTCCTATATCTCTTGCTTTTAATGTGCCCTGTGAGTATTAAATTCTCCAAGCCTGCTTTATTATATGTCCTATGCATTTCAGCTATCTCTTTCTGATTGTTAGTAGCAGTTTTTTTTTTGTAGTTTATTTTTTGTAGTTTATTTTTTCTGAAATTGTCCCTGCCTCTCACACAATTTGCCCATGGCATTCTTAATACTTGTTGGGAGAACCAGATCTCTGCCACTTCAATTCTTTCCTTCATTTGTGATGAAATTTTACAATATCACTGCCATATAAGAGATATTACATAACAGTCCTGCACTTCTTGTTTCTAAGTACATTTTTTTTATCTCTCATTACCTGGTTCAATTATGAATTTAAAGCATTCTTTGCTATTCTTTTGGAATTCCATGTCACACACTTTCCTTCATATTATATTTCATATCAGTTAATACTAGTTCACTCCTGTGAAATGAAGTCAAGATAATAGACAGACAACCAAAACTGGAGGATAAATTCATATGATAGGCACTAACAACCTTCCTCAGTAGACCTAACATAGAAATGAATACCATTGAAAAGACACATACAGTTTGAGTGTCATGGGTATGACAATAAACTACATCCAACATTAATACCACTGATCAGGAGGTTTTGAGGAGCATGGAACCACCTCTTAATTGCTGTCGTTCCCAGGTGCACCCTAATCCAGAGTGGTAGCACCTGTTAGGGTCCCAGCTATGGGCAAATAGTGGACCCCCAAACTAGGGTCAAAATACTATGAAAGTATAAAAATGCATTTTTATATTAAAAATACCAGTAATATATTTTCATAGTAAAAAAAATACCAGCAATATTTTTGACAAAAAAAATATTACCAGCAGTACATTTTTGTAAAAGAAATTACTAATGCTGCTAAGAAAATTAAATTTTGATATTAAATAATCCATAAGGAGCTGATATGATGCTAAACAAACAAACAAATACACCATCTGAGTTCAAACATTAAGTTTAAGGCTTCATAATTACACCACTAGATTGTCCAAGAGACACACAATGAATCACAGCATTAGTCAAAGCATATCAGGTTCCCTAGCAGTTGTGAGTTCAATCCTTGGGTCTGGTAGTATTGAAAAAGTTACATACTCTGGTTCAGTGAAAGAAACAGTCAAACAACACAAAGGATGAATAAAACTGGTATGAACTGTTATTAAACACCCACATAGCATGGAGAGTGAAATGAGAACAATCTAACCCTGTTTATTGAATAAAGGGCTTGGTTTAAACTTTAGAGAATGCTATTGAGTACAACAACAAACACCTGAAAACGGTTAGAGGTTGAAACACTGCTGAACAGGTTGGGCCAATTAGCAAAGCATACTTACCATTTTGATTGCTAGAATGAAATCAATGTCTGCCCAAAGAGTATTTCGAAACATGTCATCAAATTTCAGGAATCTCACATATAAACCATACAATTGGCTGAGCAGCTCAAGCTCCTATAAGCAAAAATATTTCTCATTAAAATAGTTGGATTAATTTTCTTATTTTAATATATTTGATATAACATAAGGTTTTAGAAGAAAACAATATCCATCAAGATTTCATTTTATTATTGATTTGATTTTCATTTTAATTAGCATGTGGTGATTACCTCTCCCCTTGTCTGCCATGACACCAGCTATGTGGTGTTCTGTTCAGGACTATAAAAGTAAATGACAAATTGATCTTTCTCTTTTTGCTCTGAGATGGAGTAATGACAACAATGGGGCTCATTCCTTGCAGAGAGATTTCTTAGTCCCTGACCAAACCAATGACTTAATATCACACAAACACCACTGCTAAGTACATAAATGTCTTTTCCTTTATTGAGCTATATGTATACACAAATATAATTTCCTCTTTCTCTTTATGAGCTATGTTTTTGTATATAAAAATCTTCAATGTGTTGAATTTGTTTCTTTTGAAAAAGTTGAATTCATTTATCCTGAAAGTCTTCATCTGCAATAAGTCATAATGCCTCACATTACAAACTGGTGAGCAACAGTAACCTCATCCCTTAGTATCCCATAGAACCTCCTCACCACAAGCTAGTTGATATAATGTAATCTATTATTATAGAGATTTTTGAACCAGAATAAAGAAAGCTTAATCATTTTTTGTGTTTTTTTTTTGCAAAATGTAAAAAATTATTTTCTAATTTATATAGGCAATTTTTAAAAAAAAATTCAAATTATTTATAAAGAAACATTTTCAGATGATGTCAGCATATTTTTTTAAATGCTGCATTAATATTTCACATTACTTAAAGTACCAATACATATAATATGAAGCAAAATTTTTAAGCTACAATTTACGCAAAACAGACAAAAACATTTTAATAGATGAAAAAAAATCCAAAATTTAACACACAAAAGTAACATAAATAAGAATATTTTCAGGTAGAACTTATTGACTATTATTAAACTTATTGGTTATTGAGACTATTGATTAATATTAACTTTTTGACTATTATTAAAGTTATTGGTTATTGAGACTATTGACTAATATTAACTTTTTGACTATTGAGCTTATTCACTGTTATTGAAATTTTTGAATTTTTAAAATTTTCTCTCATAGAAATTTCTGATGCCTTAGTAATGTGACACATGCTTGCTTTAAGTGTTGCCAAAAATAAATTTACCCTCACATATAACATGTACATACATATTTAGGGTGTTAAATTTGATTTAAAAAGTGCATGTTATATGCCATGAAATAGTCTATACTTACAAGAGATTAGTAGTAAATTATTCAAGTGAAAATTAAAGGCAGGATTTCAATTTGCATAATTTTTGTACAAAACCAGAAAGAATAGTAAAAAAAAAAAATAAGCAAGCAAGCAAAGAGTAAATCTTATTTCATTCAGAAAGAGTTGAAAACCAATTCTAAATGTGATTATTTAATATAGCAAAATAATTACCTCCAGAATAAATGTATTTTCAAAAGTTATAAAACCTAACCAATCTGCAAGTAGACAATTTTATTATGTAAAATTTCCTAATTTTATTTGCTGGTTCTTTATATATTTGATATCTATACAATAACAAAATTTAAAAGCAGTAAAATTGCATAATGTACCATAAATGATGTGGATAAAAAAATGAAAATGAATACAATTTAAATAAGTTTTGTAAATATGAATAATTCTAGGATTTATAAAAAAAGTCTTTCATAATCTATGAAAAAATATTTAAATACTTTTTCTGTTTTGTCAAGCTCTGGATAGGTACTGATGTTGACTCCATAGATTTTTGCCACAGATTCAAGAATGTTTCTATCTCTCTTTAGAGTTGCATATTCTTCCTGAAATCTTTCTAACCGAATAACAGCTTCTTCTGGTAACAGGTTTGGTACATTGGGGCCTTCACCATCAAAAGAGTTCCGAAATTGCATCACTTTTACAACAAATGCCTGAGAAAAACAATAAACATATCAGAGAGAATGAGAAAATTAAATTGAAATAAAATTTGTACATGTTAGGCTGATATTCTGATACTCAAATAAGTTAAACTAAAGTCTCAAATCATTCCATGAAAATTATTTTAAACTTTGTTTTCAATACAATAAAAGTAAAATATTGTGAGGGGAGGACTAACTAGGTTATGAACTGAAATTTTTTATATATATATATATATATATATATATGTGTGTGTGTGTGTGTTTGTGTGTGTGTGTGTCTGTGTGTGTGTTATGAGTTGGTTAGGAATTAATAGATGATGGAAGGATTAATAGAACACATGGAAATATTGGCATAGTTACAAAAAGATGTATGATTGAATAATAAAAGATTGGAATAATTTTATTGATCTCTTGAGATGGCACAGTCATGAATGCCAGTGAAGAAAATAATTGGTAAGGGTTACTGTGGATTCAAAAGTTTAGCACTGTGAATAGTTTGAATATTTTGAGGTGAAGGAAAAAAAGATTCTCACTGTGTTACTGGCCCTAAGAACCTGCTGATATTTTTTATGGGCTTTAATTGGACAGTTCAAATGTCAACGACCCCCTTTGAAGGGGAAGGGAGAACTGCTACTGGACAGTACCAGGCAGTTGGAAGCTATACCTCCTTGGAATAGGAAGTTTGTTTCTCCTTCTCTGCTGAAATGGCAGTCAGCATTTCTCAAAAGTAAAGGATGCATGAGTAACAAAGTTGCTGAAGGCAAGTTTCACTTAAAGCTTCAGAGAAAATTTAAAAAGAAGTCCTCTCAAAGAAGCCCCAGAAAAGAAGAGCTGGATGTTACAAAGTTTACCATAAAGAAAGAACAGAGAAGTCCCTAAGTGTTGTTTGGGACTAAAGGCATTTGCAGTGAAGAAGAAGTAGCAACACACATGCTGTTACAAGAAGTTGTACTACCAATGTGTTTTAAGGAAGTTTTCCCCTTCCTCAGCTATATAGTAAAAGAAGAATGAAATTCCATTTGGATGGGAAGAAAATAATAATAAGAAAAAAAGGGAGCTTGGTCACCAAAGAAAAGAGAACTTTGTCTCCAAAAGAAAGACAAGAAAAATATATAAAGAAAAGAATTTTTGAACTTTGAAAGGACAGAAAGTGTGTACTGTAGAGCAAAGGCTCTTTTTTGTTATCGTTTACACAGCAGTTGGGCTCAATCTTTTATTATTTTGTTTTGTGCATTGTAATTTTTTAAGTTTCGTTTTCCTGGTACTTTGTTTTTGCCTTTTGTTAGTCGGAGAATAGGTTATCCTATTCTCAGCAAAAAGGGACAAATTTTTGCAAGCACCCTTGTTTAGTTGGTTAGTAATAGAGATTTTTTCCTTGTATAATTGAATTGGATTTGTATTCTTTTCTTTTTCATTATTGCTTCGGGCAGTAGTGGAGATACTATTGCATCAGGTTTTATTTTCTGTCTAACACTTTCGCCCCAGCCCCTCAACCTCCGACATCTTACTCTCTGGGTTGAGGTGTCTACTCGGTCCTAACTGAACTTAAGAGAGTGGCCGTAGGTCCCCTAAGCATCCGTAGATTATTTGACTGGTCCACTGGTTTAATCCTGCTTCCTGCCCACGTTGTGTTTGGTTTGATCCAGAAAGCAGAAGTGATGTTCATCCATTCATGGTTGACTGAAGATGTAGACACAGCTGGAGAGTCTGTGCTAAGAAATTTAGAATGCAGCAAAAAAAAAAAAAATTAATATCTGCAGAAAGCCAGACAAACAATTATTCAATGATTGAATTATTAATGTCTTTTATATAGCAGAAAAGAATAGTATAGAAAAGAAACAGGTTACAGAAAAGAAAAGTAATTGACGTAAAAACGCATACACTGGATTCTGGACACAGAGAGAGTGTGTTATGATTAACTTGTTGTTAAACCATTTCAGAACGATATACGACTCTTGTGATGGCGGAATAAGATTTCTGTGCGCGGCTTAAAGTTTATAGTGGCGTTCCTCCTTAGCAGTAGTAACAGTAGTAGTAATATTCGTGGTAGCAGAAGCAGCGGTACTTATATCAACAGCACACGTTAGCAGATGCTTTGTTCCAATCTCTGAATCACGTTCTCTCCTTCTTGAGTCTCCAACTCGACTCTCCACTATCTCTAGCCCAACTCTTGCCGGGCTAATTTTCTTCTGTCTCTCTCTTCCGTCTGCCTCTTCTGTCTCTCTCTCAATCCCATCTGCCTCTTCTGTCTCAACGCTCGCCTGTCTGTGTTTTTCACCATAACTACGCGTTTATATAGATAAACCAGGCTGGTTACAACTGACCCTTGGCCCTACTGCTTCTCACGTGATTATCACAGGGTTTTGTCTGTTTCAACCAAAATCATGTGAATTCAAAAGTTCCTTCTAGCTTACTCAGCTCTATTTCAATTTTTAATCGATAAAAATTATTTTGACCATATTTATTGTCCTCTGATGACCCAGATTCAATGGGTACAACTTCTTCTTAGATCAAATTTCCTCATCAGTAAACAAAATGCTCTGATCTAATTTCACTATTCAAATCTTCTCCAATTTCAAAAGAAAAAAAATATATACATGTGTGTGTGTGTGTGTGTGTGTGTGTGTGTGTGTGTGTGTGTGTGTGTGTCTTTCCCAAACTCTCTCTGTCACATCTGAAAGAAAAAAAAATTTCAGAAAATGTGAATAAAAAAAAAATTCTCCAGTATCTTTCTCTTCCTTCCTTACTCTCAAATCTCCTCCTTCATCTAGGTTAAGTTTTATAGTCTTTCTTCCATGGCTGTTTAAAAGCCTTGTTTTTGTAATATAGAAAAATCCAACATGGCACGTAAATGAAATATTCGGTGAAAAATCTCATTCATCAGTAATATTTTAAACACCTCATAGAATGTAAAGTTTTTAAAGCAAACCTATTCCAAACTGTTTTCCTGAATCCTTGATGACTGTACAAAAATGACAACATCAAGATGAAATAAAAAAAAACACAATTATGCACAACAGGTTTTCGATCAATCAGTAAACTTCTGGACCTTTTTGGGCCACGTTATAGGATCAAGACGGCTATTGGTTGCACATGGAATTATTCACTGGCAATTCGATTTGGCTGTGGAAAATGTCACTTGGCGGTTAGCATTAAGAAATTATGCCCAATTTTCTGAGAAAAATCAACTTTTTTTATGAAAAAGTATTTATTTTCGCTTCACAATAATATCATTCAAACTTCACTCCTTTCTCTTTCATTTGGTGTGAACATCATTGAATAAAAGGAATGGCTAAGTGGCCTGGCGATGGGAAATAAGAAAGATATGCAGCGAAAAAAACAATGTAATCTGCTAAGTGTTGTTGTCATCACCTAGGTCACAGGGTGTTAAAAACAAAACAAAACACATCAAGCCATTGTTCAAACATAGGTTATATATGAAGCCCTAGTAATGTTGACCCTTTTTTTTTCACTCTTTGCTCTTATCTGGGATTTTCCATAAAAAATGGTTAATTTCCCATTTATGGGGAAAATTTTTGTTTACTGCCTGAAAAAAATTTGAGTAATTTACACCAGCCAATTTTACTTTTAAATGAAGGAATATATCCTTTGCTTTCAGAAAATACCTAGTCTCATGGGGTTCAGATCAAAAGTTTCCTTGATATTTGTTTAGGTGATGATAAAACAGTCATTTTTCAATATAAAAATATGAAAATCCATTTTTTGAGAGAAAATAAGCTGTGACAAAATGACTTTTACCATTTTTGTGATGATTTTTACTTGGGATAGAAATTTTTTACCATAGCAAACCTGAATTGACTTTATTTAAGTTCAGTGGGGCTATAGGAAACCTCAAACAGCTGTGCTTCCTTCCCATAATTCTTCTCCCCATCTCTGGTTTACCGTAATATCTTTCTATAAGAGAAATCACCTATCACCACTTTCTTCTCCCCCACCACAAGGTAATCAACATTCCATTTTCTCTTCTTCCTTCATTCAAACTACAGTTACTAAAACTTATAAGGAATGATTACTAAGCCTGTTTTTCTATTTAACTCATAAAAGACAACCATTATAATTTACAAAAGATTTGCATCAGATATGTAAGCTTTTGACACAATACTGCAGCTTACTTTAGGAATGATATGTAAACAAAAAGAAGAAACAAGTATTTTTCACTTGATTGCAATGTTATTTTCTTCATTCTATGAACAGAAAATGGAAATTAAGACACAGGATAAATATAATAAGTATAAAACTATGTAGTATTTAAATCAATAAAATAATTTATGAACTAAAACAGACTGTAATGAAAGCATACATAAGATAATGAAATTAAAAAGGAAAAAAGTGTATTTTCATGCAAAAAGCATATATTCCTTTGACATAGGAATATGTAAGAGTGAATGTTCATAGCCAAGAATTCAACTTTCATGTTTTTCTTTTATTATTTTAAATAGAAAAAGTATCATGTAAATACTCAAAAAGTTCAAGTACTGAAAAAAAAGCAATTATTCAAAAATATTGTAAATATAATAATAAACCAATGTAGTTGTATAAACAACCTTGATGATATTCTTTGAAAGATAATGTGAGTACACAAAAAAGTTAAGTTTTAGATGTTACAAAAAGGTGAAAGTATTAATAACATTGAAACATTAAAGTTTCACTCATATGAAAGTTCATGAGTATTAAGTACTGAAAGAGCTTTGCTCAATTCTGTTTATAGATAACTTACAGAAGAAGTAGGAAACAAGCATTTATGACTAAATTATCACAAAAAGTAAAAGTATTTTATGTTTCTTTTAATTTTTGTTTCCAGTTGTGTAAAGACAATCTAAACACTTGATAATTAAGAAAAACATGGCTTCCCATTCAAACTCAATCGTCTGGATTTCAAAGTTTATAACTAAAATGGAATTGAATTAGAGATGAAAAAGTACAGAAAAATCATGGAAAGAATCTGATTCCTACTGTAATGAATCCCAAAAAAAATTAAAAATCAAAACCAAAACAATTCCATCTAAAATAGGCAACTGCAATTTCTTTAGTTTAAATAACATTGAACATTTGCAGAGACAACGATATAAAATGCTCTTACCATATTCTCTCCATCAATTTCCTGTTCAAAAGATGCACGTTTTTCTGTGAAGAGAGACTTTTCAATTTCTTCAGATAACTCAACAAGATTCTGCCATCTGATCTGTAAATGTTTAACATCTTCAACTTCTGTACGAGGAAGCTGCAGGCCATACATTCTGAAAATAATTTTACTAAATATTAATCATATCAAAAATAGAAAATAGACAATCATGTGCCATGTCAATTGTTTATTCCTACTGATATTCAAATTTTATATTCAGACAATAGTCAGGAGAAACAAGCAAAATTTACAAAACTGTGCATGTATGAGATCAACAGAAAAGAAAACTATTCTTGAAGTCTTTATTAGCAAACTTTATGTGTTTCTGTCTGAATCTTTGGATGAAAAGTTATCAGTGCTTACATGATTTACATTCAGACTAATTTCCTCATCTTTGTTATTGTCAGAATATTGTACCATTTGGCCTTCTTCCGGTATCTGATGATTTAGGTAGACCTTTTTTTCCTGGGAATATTGAATTGAACCCTGTATTTAGTCTATGAGGGTAGATTGTTCTCATTTTGTTTTACATGTTTCCCATTGAGAATTAGCATCAGTAATCAGTTAAGCAGTTGCAAATAGGAATTTATAAGAGTACAGGGATGATTTTTCAGTGTTGATAACCAACCTTAGCTTGTTATAAGCCTCTTCAATGGCTAGGTGAACTTGATCTGTCTTATTTTGTAAGTCTCTGATTTGTTGGAGTAATTTTAATATTCGATGCAGTTGGTCAAGATTCTCAATTGGATATGTCAATGCCTCAAACATCTTTTTTCTGTGATTCTGAACTTGATCCAACCAATTCTAAAAGAAAAAGGCAGAATATTGCTTACAAAAGAAATAACAGAAATAATTTATTTTTTTTTATCAAAGTTTACATGGCTACTGAACCAACAATGGTCACAATTTCATAACAAAAAAATAAGGTAGACATTTTGCTGTTATCTGGTGTGTGTCAATCAGAAACTAAAAAATTTGTTAATTATTTTTCCTTTTAGTGTCATTTTTAGTATTTATGTTTTAATGAAAAGTAAAGCGACATTTTGCTATTCTTGACATCAACTATCTTATTACTTAATTAATACAAATAAATAACACTTTTTCTAGCACATTTATTATTATTCAATCAGTAAAATACTACATATAATACATACTTGGGCGATCATATATCTGACATACATGACTGATGAAGCAGAAGATTTTTCACACAGAAGATTGCCATTTCTTTTTATGGCAGACTGGTTGCCAACCAAGGCTAAAGAACCCAGTCTGTTCTGCTATTTAACCCATAGCTGAGGAGGAGGAGAAGAGATGGATTTATACTTTTCCAAGTGTATTTTTTGTGTAAGTGAATATAACAAACTCGACTAGGATTTAAACTTGACTCTCCGAGTACTCATTCCAAGCTGGTATCCATTACACCACAACACACATTCCTTTACTATTACTATTATTAATAATAAACACAATGATTGATGTAACTCTTCCAATATTTTTCAACAGTTAAGAGAATAGCTTGAAAAAAAAGAAAAGAAAAAACAGTGTTTGACAATGTCAAACAATATTTCAACATAATGTCTGTCTTCTTCAAGTTAAATTTAAAAAAAAATTTTTCCATGTATAAAAATACATAGATCTACAAAAACTTATAAGTCTTTGTACAAATATTCCTTGTCTTGTAATGAAATTTTTTAATTTGGTATCATTTCATGCAAGGCAGTAAAGCCACTAAAGAAGATCTGTATGGAGAAGACCTGTATGCCAAACCCTGTTAAAGGCTTTCAAGGCTACAGCTCGGGCTTTACTGTTTTTAACTAGGGCATGATAGACTCTTTCTGTAATTATCATCAGTACATCAGCAGTTGACCTGGAGAAACAAAATCCATGTTGCTTGTCTGAGAAAAAGCCCTGTGATGAGAGATGCTGAACCAATTCAGCATTGATTAGGGCCTCTAGGAGTTTCCCAAAAAGAGGCAGAAGGCCAATAGTTGGAACAACGGATGATGACTTCCAGCAGGCGGGAAAGTAGGAGGTAGTGAGGCATTTATTATATAATTTAGAGAGAACAAAGGCCAGTTTGGGAGCTCACTTCTAAATGACTATTACCATCGAGTCCACATGATTTGTGGGGATCTAGGAAATATTGTTCAACATTGTCAATTACTGTGTTTTTTCTTTTCTTTTTCTTCAATCACACTCTTCTCTTAAGTATTAATAATAATAATAATAATAATTAGAGTTCCTTTTGGATTTGAAAAATATCTTTATTATTATATTTCCTCAATAAAACAAAAAATTGAATAAAATATCCTGCACCTCTATAACATAACTCTCAATGAAATATGTTTTTATGAATAAATACACTTCACTCAATTGTCTCTGGTAAGTAATGGGAATGGTTTAGATTTTGATTTTTTTAAACTAAGATTTCTGCATTTTTCAATTTAATTAAAAATATAACTTTTTTATATTTATGTTTTATTTAAATAATGTAAATGCTGCTGAAATTTTTTATCGAATTATTCAGAGTATTTGATAGCAAATCCTCAAAAAAAAACATTATTGATAATCAAACAAGTTAAAAAGAATGAGTTTTACCTTGGCATCTTCATGCAAGACAGAAGCATAAAGAGTTTTAAAATTGATCACCATTGCTTGCAGTGAATACTTCAAAGGGTCAACATTAACAGAAATCAAACCAATTAAAATAACACTGGAAATTGCTGCTATTTCTTTTTCAATGGCCACAAATTTTTCCACTTCCATATGGATTTCTTTAGTGCTAGGATCAGTAGCCATAAACTCTTGAAAGCTTTCATAATGATCTTTCTTCCAAAGGAAATCAAAGGTTTTGAAATCTTCTATACATTTTTCCTCAATTAGTTTATTTTCTGAAACAAACACAAAAAAATACAATGGATGTTGAGATAATCCAGATGAAGGTGAAAAGTTTTACATACATCAATGTCAAAAACAGGAAATTGGTACCTGGGGGATTGCATATATAAACCAGTGATGCATTTAGCTTTAAAAGTCACCAGAAAGATCTCAGAACGATGTGCTAAGAAAATCTCTGTCGCTCAAAGACAAGAGCACACACACATTCTGTGGATAGAATGGACACGCAGAAACATAGGAACATAACAGTTGCAGATTCGCTGCAGGGCTGGAATGGCTGCTGTTACTACATTATCAATAGCAACCAAAAGGAGGAGAATTGAAGTGATCAGAAACCAAAAACCTCAGAAATACTCTAATCACCATTTGCTACTTACATGTGTAGACAATATATGTTTGTGTAATATTCCCTGTCAATAAATTTTTGTTAGGTTTTCTGAGGTTGCCATTCATCCCTGAAGAAATCTTCCACCTAGCTTTGATATTGGGGGCCAGCTTTAAGAATCACACAAGGAACAATTTACCATGTTCTCCAAGAGGGAGCTAATAACCTCTCTGTGGGGGACCCAATGAACCACTAAATTATCACTGTCGAAAAATGGACTCATTTCAATGAACATGAGAGTAACTGGAACCACCGCCAGAAACATGTAAATATTTAGCTTGCCAGGCATACCAGATGAGGAAATGACCATGTATGACTACCACTCCCCTCATATATGGTTCACACCTAGCAGCCAAAGAGTGCTTGGTTGGTGTTCAGAAGCAACTTGGTCACAGTTATTTCAGTGAACAGAATTGGCGGGGGGCTAACTTATGGCAGTTTATAGTTGAAAGAATACTTCATGTTTTTTGTTATTCAATGATAAATAATTTAAAATAGTAACACCATCCTGTGAGAGAAGCTTGCTAATCATAATGTGAGTTTATGCTGGTTAAATTCTACAGTACATCAGGTTGATGGTAGAGGATTGATTGACTGATCTGTTTTCTGACTTATCAACCTTTCTGCAGGTTATTTAAAGAGTTTTTTTTAGATAATAATGATTGAGTGATACAAATCTTACTAATTAACCCATAAGAAGGAGAAGAGGTAGAGTCATAACTTTCTCAAAGGTATTTGTGCATAAGTGAATATAATGAACCCGACTGGAATTGGAACTCAGCTCTCTGATTAAAAATTTCAAATCATTATCCATTACAATACCTGCACATCCAAGCTTACAGCACTTGGTATTCCCAAAAGGTCACCCATTTTGTTACTGACCAGGCTCAATGTTTCTTAACTTCAGTTATCATATGGGAATTGATGTAAGCCTATAGTGAAGATCCAGAGAATATACAGTCTGTACCTCAGGGCAAAAGTGGTCCCACTCTATACAGATTCTTCAACAAAGTTAAACTTCCACTTGAAAAAAAAAGACAAAGAACTGTATGTACAACGTACCATACACCTGTGAAACCAGCTACTTACTAAAAATAATACTTAAAATAATACTTAAAGAATACTGGAAAACTGTAGACTGTATAGAAACTTCAAAATCATGTAGAGTTAACCATGCATAGAAGGAGATATGGCACCTCAATGTCTATGGAATGAAGTAAAAATAATCAACATTCATAAATAAGATAGTTGAAGTAATCATCACACATATTACAGGTGTATCCTTTAAAGAAGTCCAATGATGTCAGTAGCCAATATTAAAAGAAAACAACAATGAATTTGAAGTTCTGGAAATATAACTAAGGAAGTATCTTACATATTCAGAACATGGTTTAATATCCAAAAATACAAGAGACACCAAAGGAAAGCAGTCAAAAAACATTGTGATAAAGAACAATAATGTAATTAATTTGCATGAGCCAATATACAAATATATATTATTTCTTTTATTTCATTCTTGTTTGAATCTTTTCCACATTATTCTTTATAAGAAGTACTTAAGCTATTTCATCAATTTTAAGAATGGCATTGGTAGTTCCTGTAACTTCAGTTACAGAATTACAAGATTATGCCAGTAGTTGCATGTACTAATTTTCATTTCACTAACAAAGAAACTCATATCACAGTCTTTAGTAATAAAGATGTACTTTTATGTAAAGTTAATACATATTAAAAATAGTTTACAATATTTTCTGGTGTATAATACAAATATTATTTTCTTGTCTATAATATGAGTATAATCTGACTCCATATTTTTGAAGTTAAAAACATGGAACAAATTACATCCTCGAGTATAATATGACTCACATGTTTCTCAAACTAAAAACAGGAAATAAATTGCATACTTGCTTGTAGTACAGGCATCTCTATTTATTTTTTTGAAGAGTTGTATCATATTATCCATTAAAATTTCAATATTTCACTAAAATACTTCATTTTTCACAATATTCAAGAACAGAAATGAAACAGATATTTAGCCATTGCATGTTTCTTCTAATTTCTGCTTCAAAGCTATTTTACTAATAACACACACCTTGCAATACATTTTAAGATGTTAATTAATCTATCATACTTTTCTGTTCTGTTTGATATGACTATTATATTTCTATATACTAATAAAAAATATTGTCTTTCATTAAGAATGAAGAGAGAAACAAATATTGCCAACATATCAAATACCATTTGTAAACAATTGTTACCAACACCTGCCTACTTTGTATTTTATTATCTGTTGTGCTAACTGAATGTATTTGCAATCTTGCTGTTTCAAGAGTTTTTTTTTTTTTTTTAATTTCTAAATGCACATGCTTTTAATATTTGTTCAAAATTTTCTCATATTATTCACAAGAAAATATGGTATATGCTTTATAAAAGCATGTTTTAATGTGTATATATGTATAAATCAGCAATATACACTGGAATTCAGATCATGTGGACAAATAAAGACATTATTAATAAAAAGCTACTACCAAATATGAAATATATACTCATGACATACCTAATAGTAATATTTCAATCCTTTTTATGATACTGGTAATTTCATCATCTTGTAATATCATCTTATGCAAATTTCCATGGTAGATGTCATTAAGGAATATACCTGAAAAAGTAAAAAAGAGAAATTCTAATTTTAAAACTTAGTTAATAAAATTTTATGGAAACCAGGTGTTAAAATTTGTATCTAACAATGTATTCATGTTCAATTTTTTCCCTGCATTACATTCATGTTCAGCTCATTACTACATGTCTTTTTTTTTTGTAGGAATGTAAAATTGGCTACAAAAGAAAGATATCATGCTACATTTAATGATAAATAATTAAGTATATCAGTCAGTATTAATAATCAATTTCTATTATATATAAGTTAGTACACAGTGAGTGCTGTTGGTAATAAAACAGTGACAGTGCTCGATTTTAGATTTTGAATAAATCTAAAATTTATACCAAAACTCATGAAACTCAGAATTGACCCAAACACTGACGGACAAATATTAGCATATTCATTAGAATGTAAAAAGTTATCCATTATGGAATTTTTTTCTTTTATGTTGGAATGTCATGGTCAAGTGCACATTAAAGCATGAAAACTGTTCTTTTTATGGGCATTTTAAAACATTATTACTGTATTCATAGCTGATTCTATTCAATGTTGGCCTTAATTTTTAATGAAGATTGCTTTGAGGATCTGTAGTTTTAATTTGTTATTTTCTTGGTGTAGAATAGTTGTGTTATCTATCAGTATTTTTCTATACTGTGAATGTGAACAGGAATGTTGGTGTAAATGTCTCGCAATGGGCAAATGGTCAGACATGTGCAGAGTAAGATATCTTGATAATGTAATTGTATATCCATCATATATATTTGTTTTTCTGTCGAAGATACATTCTCCCAAGGGATATCTGAATTGATATATAATGTTGGTTTTATGTAATACCTCAGTTGGTGGGGAGGAGTTATTGCAAATAATTAAATTGATTGTATTGTATGGTATTTTGTATAATATATGATTAATTTTATTTTTTTTATTGCAATCCATGGGAGATATATTGGTAATAATGAGTTTTTTTATTATTTTCCTCATCCTGTTTGTAGTTAGCATGTGTTTGGGTACAATATAAGAGTTTGATATATTTAGGGTCCTTTGAGGAAGTACCATGTTCTATTTGATGTGTGTTGAGGTGTTTGATAAATCGTCTTATTTGTTCATCTAAAATGTGGTTTGAGAAGTCATTATTAATGAGAGTCGGTGTTATATTTTTTAGTTTAGTGTAGAAAATCTTTTTGTGTGGAGGAATTAATTTGTGCTCAGAAATTAAATTCTGTATAAGTGCTATTTGTAACATTTAAATGTAAAAGAAAAAAAATTCAGCAATGGATAGCTACACATAGTTTTTGCCTTACCAGCAAGAGATGGAAAGTACTTGGGAAATAAAAGTGATTCACACTGTTACAGTGCATTTCTTGCCTCATTCAATTGTAATATACAGAAAAATATTCATGAATATGAAAGGATTATGATAAAAATAAGCATACATAATGTTTGCATTGTTTACATTATTTGGACTTTTATCCTCATCTTCATTGCCAACATTTCGGCTTCTTCAGGTGAATGGAATTTTGAACTGAACCCTTTATTTCATCCACCGGGGTAAACTGTTCTAGTTCCATGTGCCATGCCCCTTTCAGATGCCTCAGTTATTTCTCTTTAACTCTTTTGGTTCACCACTGCTGTGGCTTGGTATTGAACACTCAACTCTTTGGGTCTACTCACCGGATCTAACCAACATCGTTATCCACTGGGCCATGAGTCCTTGAGAACATCTGCGTATGAATTTTTGGGAATTATAGACCTAAATTCTCAGCAACCGTTTTTTACCAGTGCTCATATTGAAGAAGTCTGGAGTGTACAATGGCTGAAATATTGTGAATATGGCAATGAAGATGAGGATAGCAGTATGAATAATGTAAATAATGCAAGTAATCATAATACCTAATCTCAGAGATATAGACAGACATAATGTTTGTAATTTATTCAATCAAACATGCCTAAAAGAGAATTTGCTGCCTAAATACACAAATATTTTTACACACACACACACATATAAACGTACATACATATATATATATATATATATATATAAGACTAATAGTGCATAACTGTAGGACAAAATGAAAAAAAACCTTGTTATGTGTTTCATCTTTATTTGAAAACAATAGCAATAAAAATAAAAACAAAATTGATAGAAAGTAGAATAAAGTTAGCTAGGTTATCATCTAGATACACTAGATTAAAATTTAAAAATTTAAATTTAGAACTAAGTTTCCTTATATCGTTAGTATTTCCCAATGTTAAATTATAACTGATGTTTTCTGTATTTCTTCCCCACTAGACACACACACACATATATATATGTAAATGAGATGCCACCAATAAAAATATCAGTAGTCTGAAGATGTCCTTTTGAAGAATGAAATGGATAGGTATTTACCCATACACACACACACACACATATATATATATATATATATATATATATATATATATATATGTGTGTGTGTGTGTGTGTGAATATATAGAAAATAGGAAAGAACTCATTAGGTAAATAATCCAAAGTTCTTTAGTATTTTTTTATTATTTTTAAAAAATAGTACTCGTTACAAAAGTAGAGCCTAAATATAATTATTTATTTAAAATATGATTCATCACTACATAAGAGTTCTCATGTTTCAAAACAAGAGCTGAAAACTTCAATATAATTATTTGAATTAAATTGAATTAAAGTACCAAGCTCTGTTCCATCTTCAAGCGAAGTTTTTGGCTCTTGTTTTGAAACATGAGAACTCTTATGTAGTGATGGAATCATATTTTTAAATAAATAATTATATATATATATGAAGAAATATAGTCTTACGGTGTGCTATATTTATGGGATAAAGTGCTCAATATTAGAGATAGAGCGTGCGTAAATATAAAAGTGAACATAGAAGTCAACACTTAGAGGCGAGTCTGTTTCATGCTAGATGCAATCGCCAGGCCTGATGATTGTGTCTAGCATGAAACAGACTGTTGCCTCAAAGTGTTGACTTCTATGTTCACTTTTATATTTATATATATATGTGTGTGTGTGTATGTCATGTATGTGAGTGCACATATAAAGTTGTTTTTATTTGTTTTGTGTATCTATATTATTCATTCTTTAAATTCAAAGTAAATATTTTTACTGCATTAAGTTCATTGTTTTGCTAAATGATTACGTATTTGAAATCAAATTAAATCCATTGTTAAAAAAGAAATAAAGTTAAACCATGAAATAAAAGCTAAAGATTATTTTGGCTGAATTTCAAATCATTATTCAATGAATTATTTTGATATCTTTTCTGTGACCACCAGAAGAACACTAGACTCTTAACTGGCTGAAATATTTTAATTAAAACAATGAAGTTGATGATGTTAGTTTGATGAATTCATTAAAAAAATTTATTTTCTGATGACATTTTCAGTTAAAAATAGCATTTTATTGAAATATACTGACAAAAAAATTAGAGAACAGTAATTAAAACTCATAACATAAAAGGTTTACTTTAAAGTTTCATTTTGTTTTTCATTTGTCTGCAAAAAAGTATAAATTAAACATTTTCAACTCTGTTTACAAACTTTCTGCTTTGAATAAATTCAAACTATTATTTTACAATAAATGTTTTCATCCTGTTCATAAGCTTTCATACAAATAAAAAGAAAAAATAGCAATTTAATATCAGATATTATACTTATCAAATAACAGTTTGATGGATCAGTGTTTAAAATGTTGGATTAGAGGCCACAAGATCAATAGTTCAATCTTCTGCATGAATTCAGTAAAATTTATCAATTACACACTATGTCAGATTTTATTATGCAATTTTTCATAATAGAATTGACATTAACCAACCAATGTTGTTAAAACTTTCCAGTTATATTACTATAATAAGCCAAAAGAATTTTAGCTTACAATAAATATTTTTATTAGAAAAAATATTAGAAATATTTACAGTAACATATTTGGTGGTATGAGAGTAAGAAAAATTTGTTCCTCAGATTGTAAACAAATACAGTCACTACTCAATGACTCAATGGTTCCGTTACAACAAACTGGTCACCAAATGAGCTTGTTACTAAGTAAAAAGTTGTACCTGATCACTATTTCAGACATACGACACATTGAAAGCTTCAGATAGCTTTAATATCCCTTTTATTTGTAATATTTTAAATTTATTTCTAAACATTCATAAGGTACAGTAGTATACTGAATAGTAAAACAAATAAACAAATTTGAAAATCAAATTTATATTCTACTCATATTTTGGTTTACTTACTGTAATTATGGTAGAAGTAAATTTTAGTTTATTTTTCCCTTTATTTATTCATCTAATTTATTTTGTTTCATTTTGAAGAAAGATAAAACAAATCACAATCAAAGTTTTTGTACAACATACAATACCAACTGGTTGGATTTTTTTTATTTTATTTTATGAGATTTTAGAGTTGTTTGTAAGTTCAAGGAGCTTGTTAAACAAGTAAGATGTTAAGGGAGGAGTGGTTGTATAAATAATAATATAGTTACTGATATTTATTTTTTAATTTCAGATTTATAAAGACTGCTGATGTGTTGTCAGATAACCTCAAAAGGCAAACAATACTGAGTGATAGGAGCACAATGTTGAAAAAGTGAAAAAGATCAGAAAACAATCAAAACAGAAACTGAAAACATTAGTAAGAAGATGTGAACATGAAAAAAAAACTGACTTTTAAAATGTAACAAAAAGATATTTAAGAAAATTTAAAAGGGAAATAATTAAGAAAAGTGAACTGACCAGCCAGAAATATTTGAAGTAGCTGTGAACATAAATAGAGAGAAGATGTAAAATATTAACAATACTGACTAAAGACATGAAAGCAAATAAATTAGTAAATATCACAAAGAGAAATATATTAGTTGGGTGAAGAAGTATATGAAAACAGATTTTTCAGTAGTAATTTTTAGTGATTAGTGTAGAGAACCATTAGATGGACTGGATGGCTGGAAACAATCAACCGATATAATTCAAATGAGCACAGTGCAGAGTAAATCACCTCTAAGTTCACTGATTTTCAAATCAGGTTGAGTAGATCATTTTAGTTTAGGACTATTCCCACTTGGCAGTTAATAATGTCTCACTACAGTTATAACATGAACATTATTTCACGCAGACCAAAAGGAGCAGAGGTAGTCAATTCAATTAATTAAAATAAAGATTTCTTGGGCATTATTTATAACTAAAATAATATTAATACATTAATCAATTCATTGAACAGATTCTAATGAAAAACAAGGTAAAAAGTCTTTTGTCTGATAAAATCTATATCAATTCTTACCTTTGCACATGTGTCTAATTCTATGAACAACATTCATAACTGATTCATTGATACTCTCAGATGTTGGTTGCATCACAATGTTTGGTATATTGTAACTCAGAACACTGCAAATTCTGGAAAAATATCAATTCACAGAATTGGGGAGGATTCAAAAATAAACTATTGCTTTGTAGTGCTCAAAATCTTTTTATTTTCTTATAACATTTTTAAGAAATTTTTCTGTGATTAAAAAAATTAGAAATATTCATTATTTAAACAATTTTCAGATGAAAATTTATAGCTCAAAAGAAACATTGTTAGTGTAGAAATTGAAAGACAGGACCAACATGAAATTAATATCATGAAGTAAATTGATGCAAAATACTTTTAGTCTATTTTAAATAAAAATAATATAAACTTTTAATTTTGTTCTGATGGTTAAATAAAATTAACAATGTTTACTTGTTTTATATTGCCTACAATATGGAATACATGACAAGATAGGATGCTCAGAGCTTATAACTATATATATTGAGGATTAAGAAAATTAATTTTATGTCATTAGTGATACTTGTTTTTGACTTTGTTGCAGTCCACAAGCAATGACAACAAATCAATTTAATCATTTTAATTTTTAACACACTATATTATTTGCTACTTTCTTTTCCGCTGCATTGTTTTTCAAGGCTCCTCTACTACACTATTTAATTTCAGTCATGGACATTTTCTGTTACCATAGCAGGATATGACAACACAATTGCAAAATTCAAATGTGCTATCATTCATTCATCTGAGTCACTTGCAGTGGTAGGATGAAATTTTTGCTTTGCAAACAAAATCACACCCAGAATGTTAAAAGTTAAATTAGTTATTTTTTTAAAAATTCTACAAAATATCACTGTAAGTAAATAGCTAGAAAGATTGTTTTAATTAAGTGAAATGTTTGAAAACACTTTAATTACCCAAATAATTCTTAAATTAAATGGCACTAAAACAGAACAGCACAGAAATGTTAACTAACTGTATATGTAGCTTTGTTTCTGAAGAATTCCTTGTAACTGATGAAGTTCTGGGTCTTGATACAATTCTTGCATCTTCAGAGACATCATTGGTTGGAGAATCAGGATTGATAGTGGAGGTGGGAATTGGAATTTCTTGCAGATTTTCAGAATTTTGCTTCTCATCACATCCCAATGATGAACACAGAAGCATCAATGACTTCCCCATTATTCCTTTAATTACTTTAAACAAAGAATCTTTATATTGATCTGAAATTAAACAACAGAAAGGATTTAAATGAATTTACTGATTTATTTTCAGCATTTATTTATGTTTTATATAGTAATATTATTCATAACCAGAAATAATTTTGCTACATCTGCTTGTAACAGCTGAAGAGTCTTTAATGCATCAAATGTGATGATAAACTGTTATGTTACTTTAATCTCTTTCTGATTCACAAATATATTTTACCAGACATGTCGGCCAGATGTGAGAGCTAAGAAAGCAAAAGCCCAAATAAAAAAAAGTCATTTCTGCACAGGGGCTCCAAGCATTACATCTGGTCTGCAAAACAATTTCTCAAAATAGCCAATCACAAACATTCCCCCCACCACCAAAAAAAAAAGGAAAAAAAGGAGCCTGAGAACCGACACATGTTAAGCCACAGATACAGCACTCCTCATTGACAACAACCAGTGTTTGGCTCAACACCTCAACAACCCATCCACACACCTCACTGGTGTCAATTTCAACTCTGAAGGTAGATGGATTAACCCCACCAATGACACTCCATTCATGCTACCACGCAACTTCACTAATCCACTCCTGGCCACTTTCCTGACACCAACTATGACCTCGGTCAACCAACCCAGCAAATCCGTTAACTCCTGGTTTTAGTAACAACACCCTTATGCCAAATTGCTTTTCTTACTAATGTGAACTAAAGAACCACATGTTAATTTTATCACCTTATCACATGACTATATATTTATTCTGAAAATCAATCTGTTATATTCTATGCTATTAGGAATATATACTTGAAAAACAAGGTGGATAAAATAAGTAAAGATAAAAACCCAGTACAATAAGAATAAAAGTAACAGTTATGCACAAGGTCATCGCAAGTCAATCCAGTAGTGAGGGCTACTATTGGAAGATTGGTAGTTCTTGCACAAGTCTGAGTCATACTCAACAGATCCCAGCTAGACTCTGTAGTCCATTGACTTACAGATACTTATAGGTAGTTACTACCTTTAGTGTATTCACTCATAGGGGTGACAGGTTATTCCATTACATCACAATCAATACATGCTGTTGAACTTTTAATCCTTTTTTGTTCTGTTCTTTGCGACCATACATTTATTATAACAGTTATTTCTTTTGACATTACTGCATTTTTTCTTTTTTCGTTTGTATGTATTAATGGACTTAATTTTATGTAAAAGAGACATTTGTTCTTTACTTTATATATTTCAGACACATGTACTTTTATCCATAAACAGATTCTATTTTTTGTCTAACTGAGTTCAATATTGAAATACCAGTTCATTACCTTAACATATCCAGAATAAGCCATTTTATTTCAAAGTAGGCATCTGTTTATCTAGTAAGATAATAGTAGCCTCCTGTCTGGTCAAATTTTATTCCTTTTGTGTCTGATTGGATTAACAATCCAATCTTTGCATGGCAGTCTCTTTTGCATTTTCTGATTTCCAACTATTTCTTTCACTTTTTCTTGTCCTTCAGGACTCTTCCTTGAACAGCACTGGGATCATCTGCTAGCCATTCCCAACTACCAGGGTCAATGCCTGCGAGTCTCAGGTCTTTCTTGCGAACATCCTTGAAACATAGTGCAGGATAGCTTGCTGGATGGTATCCCATGATCAGCTCACCATACATGATGTCTTTTGGTATATGACCATCAGTCATTCAATGTTCATAAGCTAGCCATCAAAGACAATGCTGACAGAGGAGAAGATGTATGTTTCAGGAGTTTTCATGCTCCTGCATGTGATGCTGAGGATATGCCACAGGCAGCATAGATGTCCAAGCAGTTTTCTTACCTGGTGTATGTTGTCTAAGTTTCACTGCCATAAAGTGAATTACTAAGGACACATGCCCAGAATGTTTTAGCTAAGTGCCCCTTTTATGAGGTAGGTTATTGGTGGTGGTAGAGCCTAGATGTGTGTAGTGACCTGTGACTTCAAGTACCACATCATCGATGCTGATTGATGGAGATGCAGGAACATTCTGACCCACGACTTTTGTTTATATTTATGTTAATAGTCAGCACGAATTCCTTACAAGCATGGTTGAATTGATTAATCAGTGTTGGAGGTTGTATTCAGTGTATGTGTGTGTGGTTAGAGCTGCATCATCAGCAAACAGCATTTCTTTGATGACAACTGTGAGCACTTTGGTCTTTGCTCTCAGACAGGCCAAGTTGAACATTTTATCATTGCTTCATGTGTGCAAGTATATACCTTCTATGGATTGTCTCAATGTGAAGCTCAATAACATAGAAAAGATGATGCTGAACAATGTTGGTGCTAATATGCATCTTTCTCTTCTACTGTTCTGATTTTTGAAGGGCACTGAAGATTCACAATTATAGCTGACTACACTCTGCATGTTCTTGTGAAAGATGATGATGATGATGATGATGCTCAGCATCTGTGAGGTGGGGGTAACCAATTTTCATTAGACCTTTCTTGCTAACAATGTCAAAAGCCTTTGAGAGATGGAAGGCTTTGTACAATGGCATCTTTTGTTTGCAACATTTATCCTGCAGCTGATGTAGAGAGAAGATCATGTCAAATGTGGATTTCTTAGCCCTAAATCCACACTTTGATTCTGGGTAGATGCAGTCAGCAAGGTAAAGACCTTTCCAACAATGCTTAATAGGGAGATACTCCTGTAGTTATTGCAGTCACTGTAGTCACCCTTGTTTTTATACAGGTTAATTATCTTGGTGCTGGACCTTACCTTCTCTTCAGCAGAGACAATGGAGTGGTTTTCAGTAAAGCTGGCTTACTGCATTTGATGACCTTGTATACTGCCTTCACTTGGTGCTTTTTTACAAGCTAGAACATCAACGGCTTTGCTGAGTTCTTCCTCTATAGGTTCAGAGTCCAGTTCTTCTCAGACTGGCTGACCCACAATATCATCAAGCACTACTTTGGTGATTAAATTTTATTTACTTCTTTTGCTTTTAACCATGACTACTCATGCCACGGCAGCTATATCATTATTCAAACTGTGTAGCTTGCAATCAATCACTGCAGTCTTGAAAGCATTGTTTATTTTTTGAAGGTCACCTGATAGATCTGTTCTCATGGTTCACATATTCCAGCTTGCAATACAAGGACCTGGATTCTATGTTCTATGTTCTATACTATATGCTTTAGGTACCCACTGAAATAAGCAGACCATGGCAGGTCAACAACCTATTGTTTAGAGTTTGTCCGGCTTGAGGTGAACAATAGTTAACCAATGGAATACAGTGATCCCTCTCACCGAAGATAACCTGTAGAATCTGACTATGCCAGTTGAGCATGAATGTATAACTCATAAAATGGTGTCTCCTGTGTTGTGCTCTCACTTAGTGGTAAGACTGAAGTGACCTCTTCTGGGCACAGGCCTGGGCAATAGTATATGGAGGCTGTGCACTGCTCAGACCACACAGCTTGTCTCTTGGTCATATTGACAAGATCCAAACGAATACAGATTTACAGAAGAATTATTTTCCATCCTCCAACTTCCCTCTCAAAGGTTGGATGTGGCAAACCTCTTGCTGTTGTAGTGATACATTTATGGAAAGTGCTCGGACAAACTATATTCCTTGGTTCTGCCAACATTCATGGCAAGGACCTGCCATGCCACTTGTAGCAAATCACTTACATTCCCTCCATATTTCATTGGTGAGAAGTTCCACTCAAACAACTTCTTCTTACGAAATGCTGTACTAATGTTTCCCCAATCACTACAATCTTAACCTATTCAAGTCTAGGGATTTCCCTCCTATCCATATAAACTGCCTCCTAATGTAACCCTCTA